AGACAACCCCGTAACAATATGCGTTTTGTACTGCTGTTACACAGCACAAAACGCATAAAAAGGAAAAGGAAGGTGAGAAATGAAAGTTGGGAAATTTGTGAGATTATAATGTAGGAAGTGTTTCGGTCCATTAATTCATATATATTTCTTACCAGTGCTATAAATGGACCCCTACTAGAAGTTTGTTCAGCCATACAATAGATACTTGTCTGTAGGCGTGAATGAGAGCTGCGAAAATCACAGTTGGACGTTGTTTTGGCTTTTTGTTTCATTGAGATTTTGAAGGGAGAAAGTAGTCGTGCAACTGGAATACAAGCTACACGGCTACTTTCTCAGTCCGAAATTTCAATAAAACCAAAAGATCCATCACGTTAGCCTGCTTGTATACGAAGCTGCTGGTGCTTGAAGAATCCGAGTACGCTGGTTTCCTGGCTCTTATGTGATCGTCGTTCGTGCTTCAGTCGTTGCAGCCTGGCTTTGTCATCAGCGGCGTCGTTGTTCCCCTCAGTTAATTAAAACTTATTTCCTTCGATTATGCGCTTATAGTGCTAAGCAAGAAATTTATGCCAAATGAAAGCTGGCCAACGCAAGCTTGAATTCTTATCTCCAGGCAGGATGTCAGCTCTTCCACAGTGATTATTTCAGTCTTCTCCCTTCTATTACAACTCCTACAACCTAAACCAGCATTCGTAGCCCTTCTCTTTTTCCTCGACACCTCTACTTCTTGCACACTATTAAAATTGAGATTGAAATTTTTATTCAGTTCCACCTATACCCCGAGTAGGCGTGCCACGAGAATCGTAACTTTTTCCCGATTCGGCCAGGCCGAATTTTAATAGTCCACGAAAATCTAATGTTTATGTACCAACCGTAATTTTCATAACTGTTCCTAGCCCACAAGCGAACATATCTTTTCCAAAAAGTAAATACGTTTTGTGCTGTTGAGCCGGGCCCAAACAGCATTTTTTGCTGAAGTTTCTTTCATTTTTGCTTCCTGATTTGAAGAATTTGGTGCTTTATTTCTAACAGAATGGAAAGTGAATGGCTTTTTCCCCTTCCCGCTCTTGTCTGGAATGTGTGACATCATTAACAGTGCATTAATTTGTATCTATTATGTTCGCCAGTGGCATATCAAATTCCTCTTTGTTGAGCAATCCGTTTATTGCCGGTACCTCTGTTCCAGTCCAGTTGCTGTTTTAGGGAATGATGTTGTACATGCGCTAGCCATCTCAGATTCAGAATCCGGGAAGATATTCATCTACGACGGCAAAGGCGAAGATAAATCACTACATGTTTTGGATAAACTTCATTCGAAGCCCATAAAGCTTATCGAAGTAAGCATTTAAAAAAAAAAAAAATCAGCAACACTGTTTCATTTATGCATCGTACACCACTTTATATTTCTGCATTCGTGTTTTATCTGATACCCAAATCGAGGAAGTCTCTTTGATAATGCAGTATTAGTAATTAGTTTTGCCGTTTTTGCAGTACAACTCTCGTTTTGACTGTGTTATTTCTGTCGATGTTATGGGAATGTTGGAATATTGGTCCGGGCCAAAATGCGATTACGAATTTCCAAGTAATGTGAAGTGGAAGTACAAAACAGACACTGACCTCTACGAATTTGTTAAAGTAACGCTTTGTTTTTATTATGCGTTTTTTGCAGTTATGCGATGCAGAAAACGCATATTGACGAAGGGTTGTTTGTGTGTGCGTCTGTTGCGGTTTTTCATTTCAAGATCTACAAAAGCTGCAGGGCTGAAACTTTGGGAACTTAATCTGCATGCACGTACGGGCCCAGTCCCCAAAATGGGCAGTCTCACCCGCGTGGTACCTACGTAAGAGCCCGCCAAAGTTTTTTACGGGTAAGCTGCTAACTCGGGAACCAGAAATGCTTGGAGGCTGAAATTTTAAGGGATGTTCTCTGTCCAAGTAGGTATTAATGAGCTTAAACCCAGCCCCCGGGTAAGCGCGGTACCCGCGTACGAGCCCATGAAATTTTTTATCGGGTAAGTTGATAACTCAAAGGTTTAATAAGCTAGAAAGCTGAAATTTTAAGAGGATGTTCCTCGTCCAAGTAGGCATTGATATGTCCAAACCCAGCCTCCGGATAAGCTGATGTCTGCGTACGAGCCCGTGGATTTTTTTTTTTCTGGTAAGCTGATAACTCGAGTACTTGAAAAACTAAAGGGCTGTAATTTTAAGAGGATATTCCCTGTCCACCTAAGTCTCATTCAGCTCAAACCCAGCCCTCGGGTATGCGTGGTACCTACGCACGAGCTCGCCAAAATTTCTCTTGAGTAAGTTGCTATCTCGAGAACCTGAAAAGCTGGAAGACTATAATTTTAGAAGGATGTTCTCTGCCCACGTATGTCTCAACGAACTCAAATCGAGGCATCGGGCATGCGTCGTACTCACGTACAGGCCTGTGAAAGTTTTCCAGTAAGTTGCTAACTCAGGAGCCAGAAAAGCTAGGATGCTGAAACTTTGAGGGGGTGTTTCCCGACAGTTCTGGCGGCCATTCTTAATTTGTTTACCTAGAAGCATTTGCCGAAAAAAACCGGTGCCGGAAGCGACAAAAACTGCGTTGAACTACGCAAAAACCGCATCTTCGCACGGGCAGCCTGTGCGTTGGCCAGTTATTTTCTTTGTATGGTCATGAGATACTTATATTGAATGGGTATTGTGTGCCTGACCGGAATTATGCAGCTTAGGATTAAGTACCTAGCATAGTTGCAGTCAGCACTTGGAAATACCTCAGTAACATTTGTCATACGGAATCCTCGCGCTAATTATCGGGACGGCCTTGCTGTTCTATTAATCCAACTGTGGATTTTTATCCTGCAAATGAATGCGTAGTTTATTCAATACATCGGTTCGTTGACTCGCGCCAATTGAATCGGTGTACATTTAACAATAGTCATCAGAGGAATCCAGTGTTGGACTGAATGCTTTATTGCATTAAAGTCTTTATTTTTGGTTTCCTCATCCTAATAGGTTTGAACATAAGGGAACTCTTTTCGTTAATATCGAAGTCTATAGGAAGTTCCGAAATCATAGGGAATGGATTATGTTTGAAATACTCAAATCAGTTCTACCTCATGCTCCGTTTTTCTAGCTTCTGGTGGTAACCTTGACTTACATTTCGTCTTGAATGGATTAGCGGCTCAACACTTTCTTCGACAAGTGCTTTCACTTGGCGCAGCTTCAGTCCTTGCCAGAAATGAATTATGAAAAGTTGAAACATTTTTCTTTTCTGCGTTTGCGTTGTTGAAAATCTCATTTGAAATAGTCAATGCAGAACAGTTTTAATGCCTGAGCAAAAACTTATTGGCATGTGCTAATGAATTCACGGACGATTGGATTGTGTATTGAAAGGGAATGGGCTCATTTCTTCCAGGTCAAAGCACCACCGCGATGTTTACGAATAGCACCAAATGGAGAATTATTCGCAGCAGTTGGGGCCGATCGGCGTATCCGA